ATGGTTAGATCTCAGATTGGTATTCATTGGGCCATTTACACTCTCAGGTTTTGAGAATCTTTTCTGAAAATGTCATAACTTCAATTGTTAATTTAAAAAGTCATTCTCTCCCTCCCCCCCCCCCCCCATTTTCTGCTGTGAAAATGAAGTCTGGAACTTTAAAAAATTTTTTTTTTAAAGAATCTGGGCAAGTTGAAATACTTGACCCAGTTTTTGATTTCCCTATCATTTGAGATTCAGCTATCGAAGTCAATTTATTCCTTGGTGTGGAAATTTTCTGGGAAAGTGAAGTTACTAGAACGAAGGAGAGACAGACTTTCTGAAATATTTTAGAAGTTTGGCAAAATCCTAGCTGTTAACCATTGCGGTGTCTGGAAATAAGTTAGTGTAAATTGCTGATATGGAAGTTAGGCGTGGCGACACATATTGGCAACCATGTTTATCCATGTTTAAAACAGATTCATTTTATTTTTAATGATGTGTGTATTTCTGTGTGTGCATGCTCGTGCATGTGAATGCCAGTGCTGGAGTTATAGGCAGTCGTGAGCTGCATGATTTGGGTTCTGAGAATTGAACTCAGGTTCTCTGCAAGTGCAGTATGAGTTCTTAATCACTGAGCCATTTCTCCAGCTCTCCGCCCCCCTGCACCCTCCCTCCCCCAGACAGGGTTTCTCTGTGTAGCTCTGGCTGTCCAGGAACTCACTCTGTAGAGCAGGCAGGCCTCCAACTCAGAGATCCACTTGTCTTTGCCTCCTTAGTGCTGGGATGAAAGGTGTGTGCTGCCGTCACCACCATGACCACCTGCTTGTATCTTGCCCTCCCCACCTTCCCCCCAGAGAAGGTTTCTCTGTGTAGCCTGAGATCCGTCTGCCTCAGTCTCTGAAGTGCTGGGACTAAAGGTGTGTGCCATCACCACCAGGCTTCCTGCACCTTCTTACTGACAGTTTTACCTCCAAGCACTGAACTACTTGTTACTACATCCATTCTTCCTGGACCTTTAGGTCAACGGGAAATCTCCACATTGTTCCTCAGATTCATAAAGGCAAAAGGGTTGGAGAGATGTCTCTGCTCAGTGGTAAAGGGCCCTGGTGGCTTTTGCAGAGGACTTGGATTTGATTCCCAGCACCCACGTGGTGGTTTCCAACTGTTTGTAATTCCAGTTCCAAAGGGATTAAAGTCCTGGGCACTGCACGGACGTGGTGTACGGATGTACATGCAAACAAAGCACCCAAGCAAAGAGGTAGCTATTTCCATGGCAGAATGTAGTTGATTGAAATGGTGAAGGCTTTATTTAGGTACACGCCTTTAACCCCAGCATGTGGGAGGCAGAGGCAAGCAGATCTTTGTGAGTTTTAGGGCTGCCTGGTCTACAGAGCGAATTCCAGGACAGCCCTGGAACTGTAGCCCAGGCTACAGAGAAACTATCTTGAAAACTGACCCCCCCCAAAAAAAATCCAAACCAAAACAAAAAAAATTATGAAGGCTTTCAAGTGTTTTAAGGATAGTAATAGTTCAATATTATAGTTAATTTTAAATAAATTTCTTATAAGGAAGTTATTATGAGGGGAAAATTATTTATTAGCAATCTTTAAATTTTTTGTTTAAAATAAGACACTATTAAAAAAATCCTTCTTTGCATAACTTGTTTGCTTTTTCCTTACTTCTAAGAATACCCCCCATGCTCTTTGAAATCCTTTCCTTCCCTCTCTGAAATCCTGATCTGGAACGTGATTCAAATTAAAGCTTAATTGTTTGTGTATGTTGTAAAGTAACCTCCCATTCTGAAATGGGAAGTTAAGATCCATTGGTTAAGTTGTGAGATAATAAAATGTAGAAGACTGCAAAGTCTTGATTTTTTTTTTTTTTTTTTTTTTTTTTTTTAAAATGAAGCAATAGAAAAATATGTGAATTTAAGCCAGGCATTGGTGGCGCATGCCTTTAATCCCAGCACTCAGGAGGCAGAGGTAGGCAGATGTCTGTGAGTTCGAGGCTAGCCTGGTCTACAGAGGTAGCTCCAGGACAGCCAAGGCTACACAGAGAAACCCTGTCTCAAAAAACAAAACAAAACAAATAAACAATAACAAAACAGAAAAAACATGTGAATTTATCTGTAAAATGAACTTTCTTGAAATGGTAAACAAACAAACAAACAAAAACCCCAAACTCTTTCAAAAATCACGTAAATAATTCATTAGGTTTGTTTTGTTTATTTTTAAACTAAAGATATATTTATTTTTATTATTTTAAATTGTATGTAGGTTTGTGTGTCTGCGCATGGTATGTGCACTTGAGTACAGGTGCAGAAATGAAGGGCACACCAGTGACAGATTTTCTGCTTGTTTGAAGTGGTTGAATCTACTTTTAGTCCAGACCTTTGAGGTAGGAAGGTACCCGTCCGTCTGTCCGCCCGCCCGTCCATCGAGACTCGTCCCATAAGTTCTGTGACTCTAGAAAACCCTGACAAACACATGGGTCCACTGATGATATGGGTACTGGGAAATGAACCCTGTTCCTTTAAAAGAGCAACAAGTGCTCTCAGCTGTGGAGCATCTCTCCATCCCCTTGGTTTTTTTTTTTTTTTTTTTTTTTTTGTGGCTCATTCATTTTTCCTAGTTGAGAGGCTGTTACTGCCTGCATCAGCTAGGGCTGTACAGTGTGTAGAACTTGGATGATTAGTCATTTGTAGGCTTATTCAGCCAACTTTTTATTTTATGGGGAGGGAGCGTGGGGCAGGAGTTGTGCATGCCAGCTAGTCAAGGTTTCTACCACTGAGCTACACCCCTAGACTTTTAAAAAATTGAAAGCATTTAAAACTTACTAGGTATGTGTGTGCGTGTGTATACACATACGGAGGTCAGAGGACGTCTCTTTGGAGTTGGTTCTCTACTTTGATTTTTGCATGGGATCCAGGGATCAAATTCAGGTAGTCAGGCTTGGTGGCAAGTGCTTTTACCTACTGAGTCGTGGCCCTGGCCCTGCTATATTTTCTTAATGAATGGCGCATAACTATACCTAATTGTTGTAATATCTTGGGCCAAGACCAGGCCCTTTAAACTATGACCTCCTCCTTCTGTGCCTCTTGCTTGGCTGTGAAGGCAAGTCAGCCTCTGATAACATTGACTCTTCACTTGGGTGCTTGTGATAACTAAAACGCCCAAGGCTGGAGTCAGATGAGAATCACTGTAGTAAACCTGCGCTCACCTTGGATTCTGGAAACAGTACAGTCTAGCAGGGCAGGTGAGGACAGTACTGTGATGGTGAAGCTGCCCCTGGAGTGGGGGCAGTCACTTTAGGGGAACCAGATTGTTCCCCTCCAGCAGTGATAGCAATAACGTCATTGGACCAGAACTGACGCTATGGCCAGCCAGAAACTACTCTTGTACCTCTTGTTCAGTACCCCGATTCTACAGCTCACTGGACCCCTCTGCTGTTTCTCTTGCTGATGGAAGAATTGATTGAGTCCCGTGGCTCTGAGTTTTGATATTATTCAACTCTTCAGTCGGAGTTTTGGAATGGGATAATTTTAGGGGTAAAGCCCCCAGCTGTAGGCACCCCAACAGGCTAGGGTGCCTGGAGCTGGGGGCTCTCCTCCTAAAATTATGGTAGCAGGTATGTGCCTTGGAAGCCAGGACTTACTTGAAAAATCTCCAACTGCCCTGTTTACCTACCAGTTACATTCGTTAATATTCTGCTTCCTCTAGTCATCAACCGTGTTTGTAGTCACACTTGTCTTCTAAGTCTGCCTAGAAGCATTATGCTTCTCATACTTTTTTCTGAAGCTCATGATTGGTTCCATTTATCATTTTTACAGAGAAGAATTCTGTATAACGGATGTTTGATTTGACAGAAGGTAGGAGTGCACAGGACTCTTGGACCCTATGTGGTCTACTTGTGCATCCCCCAGAATAGACAATGGTTTCTGATCACATATGTGTTATAGAAAGTTCCATTTCTGTGGAGAATGAGCTGCCTCTGGGCTTTTCCATCTGCATCCTGTCTACAGAGTTAACCTTCCACAGTGCCATATAACATGATCCTACCCAGTTACTTCTAGCTCCATGGAGTACTGTGGATCTGGACTAGAAGAGGGTGGGGTTGGTATAGAGTGGCTGGTTTCCTAACACATAGCTGGGGAGAGGAAGCCAAGAAGAAGTATGCATGGCATGTAGCTGACAGTCATTTCTTAATTCAGAAATGTCTGGGATTTGAGGTGTTTCTGTCCATTGTTTATCTGTTTTTCATATTACAAATTAAATGATACATCTGCCATTATAGTTAGTTTGTTAGGAGTTGAGAGAATTCACTCCAGAAATTTATTCAGATGATGATTGTTAAATCCAGAAGAGATAAAGTGATGGTGGGTCACACCTTTAATCCCAGCACTTGGGGCAGGCAGATCTCTGTGAGTTTGAGGCCAGCCTGGTCTATAGAGCTAGTTCCAAGACAGCCAGGGCTCAACAGAGAAACTCCACCTCAAAGAACATAAACAAACAGAAATCCAGAAGAGATGTTCCTTTAAGCTTCTTAGGGTGAGGTGCAGTGAAACCTTTTGTTTTTATTGGACCGGCTTACTATTTTTCAGCATTTTTTTTTTTTCTTTAGAGGCAGGTCTGACTATAGTTTTGGTTCGTGTAGAACTCCCTATGTAGACTAGGCTGTCGGTCTCTTAGAAGAGATCCTCCTGCCTCTGTTTCCTGAGTGCTGGCAACACATCTGGCTCCATCATATTATTCCTAAAATTGCTCATGATCTCCCCTCTTGGATTTTGGATTGTATTTTCATCTCATTAAAATAAAAGAACTCATTTTTTTTTTTTCAGGTAGGGAAATAGAATCTTGCTGAAGTCTCACAGTGGTGTTTAAGAAAGCTGAGATTAAATCATATGCCATACTCTTTTTATTATGGAGCTTGAGAATTTGGAGAATCAAGCATTGAAAGCAAGTAATTGTGTAGGATTTGTGCTCCCTGTTATGAAAGCTGTGTTTTAATTATATCTGCAGGTGAAGAGCTCTTAAACTTGATGTGAGGATGGCAGCTCCTGAGTTTTCCGTCAGTGCCCTAGTGTTTACATTGCTCATTTGTTCTTCGGCTGGTTACCCCGATGGGAAAGTAGCCATGTCCTGTGGTGGGATGACCCCCCAACATGGCCACAGTCCACAGTCCAAGCCTGTTCACCAAATCACCATGAGTCAGATGAAGTTCAAACCTGGAGAGCAGATCCAAGGTACTAGTGCTGGGTGTATTGATTTGCATTTTGAGTTTGACTCTGTTTCTACTTGTTGGGTTTTTACTGTGACTGTAATGAAACAATTTCATTTTAACCTATTCACTTGCATTATCTATTATATCATTATATCTATATTGTGTAGGTGGCATCTATTCCTTATTGAGAACAAGGTCTAATATGAGTTTTTTTTTTAAGGATACCAAGGAATATATTTGTTTTATTATGTTAGCAGTGCATTCATTGTATAATGTGTCTAGAACACCATTAACTCAATTGAACAGGAAAAATGATTTTGTTTTACTCCCCGTCCATTTTAAAAAGTAATACAATCTCTTATGTGTTCCTGATTCTGCTGGTAAAATGTATGCTGAGTGTTAAGGTTTATTTATAACCAGGTGTAGTGGTATGTGCCTTAATTCCAGCACTCTGGAGGCTGAGGAAGGATCAGGGTTTGAGGCAGCTTGGACTCTGTCTCAGAAAAACAAATAAGTATGCCTATCATAGCATTTGAAATGACTGTATTTTGCAATTATAGAAATACATAATATTAATGTTAATAGTTTTTTTTTTTTTTTTTTGAGATAGTGACAGTGTTTTTCTGTGTAACCACTCTGGCTATCCTGTCACTTGCTCTGTAAACCATGCTGACCTGAAATTCACAGACCCACCTGCCTCTGCCTTCTGAGTGCTGGAATTAAAGACAAGCATCATCACTGCCTGGCTTGGTAATAGGAGTCCTTAACAAATAGGATGTGGGAAGAAATAAACTTGGAATACGTTGTGTGCTTTAGACATCTCTTAGAATTTTAATATGCACAATAGAGTACTAAAGATAGTCAGATGTGTAATAAAAACATGTTCATTCATCTAGAATTTTCTAAGTTAATTTTTCCTATAGACTATTACCTACTCATCACCCATGCTTTTACCCTCTTGTGGAATGGTTATTAATATCTCATGGTGGTTGGCCTACAGGCACAGGTCTATCTATAATCCCAGGCACTTGATAGGCTGAGACAAGATGCTCTTAAGTTCAAGGCCAGTCTGATATGGAAGGAATACAAGGCTAGCCTGGGTAACTTACTGAAACTCTGTTTCAAAATAAAAACTAAAAGAGGGTTGAAGATGTAGTTCCATGTTGGAGAGGTTGCCTAACATGTGTGAGGTCCTAAGTTCAATACCTAGTATTGTCAGATAAACAGCCAACCCACCCAAATAAAAAACAAACAAACAAGTCTCCCAAAACATGACATTCGTACCGCAGACATTTTTCTGCAGGATGATTTCTGTCCTGTGTATTTTGCAGAGATACATCCTATTCTAACTAAATGAGCTCCTTCTAAATGCTTTTTCCTTGAATATTACTAAATCTTACCCTAACCTCTCTTGTTATCTGTTGCTCAGTGACTTTATCAGGGCCACAGTTTAGAGGCTTTCTCTTAGAAGCTCATGATGCCGAGGATCTGAGTGGCCCTCCTGTTGGCTCCTTCACACTGATTGACAGGGAAGCGTCGCAGCTTCTGACTTGTGAAGATGTTCAGGTTTGTGTGCAGTTTGAAGTTGCTTTCCGTTGGTTCCTTTGGGCTGTTTCTAACTCGAGGGTGGTGAATGGCTCAGCAATGGCATCACCATGTACAGCAAGAATTTGAACAGATTTAGTCATCAAACCTGACCACTGGTTTACTTAGCAGCATCTAGGAATGGGAGGGTAATAGCTCTCCCATTGGAACTGGAGAGCAGATCCAAGGTACTAGTGCCTCCCAATAGGAATGGGAGGCACACTGTATCAGGAGCTTTGCTGAGTGCCAGAGATATGGTAACAAACAAAACTTACTCCCTTTCCTTGAAAACCTCAAACTCTTATGCAGAGTAGAGAGCCCATGGACACAGGGTAGCTGGCACAAGGGCATGGCACATGCACTTAGGACAGACACATAAGTAGTATGAAAACTTAGGTTGGAGTGTGTACAGAGTCATTTGGGAATTGTAGCATAGGCAGTCACAGATTAGAGCAGGTGAATTCTAAGTGAGGCTTTGAAGGATGTGTAGGAGTTTGCTAGGTGACAGAAAGCGGGAACAAGACTGTTCAAAAGTAGGAATTGCTAAAATAGGATACATGTTTGGAGGTATGAAATTCTTCTTTTGAAGAATCTTCTGTATTTTATTCATGTATACTAATGGAAGTAATATAAATTTAAAGTGTAAATTAAGACAAAGAACAATCTTCAAATAATAACAACACATCCAATATTCATGGCTTCCTTCAATATTTAAGTTTCTGGTGACTTTTTTTTTTTTTTGGATCAAACCACTAGGGTTTATTTAAAAAACAAAATAAAACAATGATATGAAAACAGCAAGGAGGAAAAAGAAAAACAAACAAAAACCAGCAAGAAGGCCCGCCTGAATCTAAAGTTTTTCCTCTAACAGTACCAAAGTTACAGATTATTATTACAGATGTGTACAGATCTTTAATACAAATACAGAGGGCTAGGCTTCAGAGAACAAACAGGAAAAAGCCAGTTCTCATCAGGACTTTACTGCTGCCTGTAGCTATGACAAGGGAGGGCTGGCTGCTTCCTGCACCGTGGGTGTCTTCTTGGTCTCTACATCATCCCCTGTTTCTCAAAGGAAACTTCTGCTGGCTCAAATGAGGTTCTGACCCCTTAGCTGCAATTGGATTTCTGCTCATCTTAATTTCAGTTCACACATGTTCCTGTTTTGTTCTCCATTAAGCCTCAGAACTGTTCTGAGCTGACTGATGACTTAATTTATCACAGAACTGATAAACATGACTGATAGTACATTGTAAACCGATGGGTATAAATTTACCGAGGACCTGGCCTTGCTCTATGTAGAATAGTCTCTATTCAAATACTCCGGATTGTGTAGTGATCGTTTATTTTGTAGATGATTGCACTCCGATGATGCTGAGCCGTCTGTCCAGTGATGGGATGGTTCTTCTTTTCCATTTTATTTCAGGGTTTTGCGGTGAGTCATACGACTTCATCCAAGAAGACTGAAATTAAAGTCTACTGGAACGCTCCAAGCAGTGCCCCAAACCACATACAGTTTCTGTGAGTATGAGAGCTCACATCTCTGTAACCATTACCATTGGGATTGAAACCATAATGGGTACTGCTTTGCCATTTACTTTTCACCTGTGTAGGAGAGCTTTAGCAGTTAAAATCTACTGACAGAAGAGTAGTTTTGCTTCTTTCCTTTATTGTTATTTGAGACAGCATCTTGCTATGCAGCATTGGATGACCAGGAACTCCCTACTTAGATGAGGCTGGTCTTGGCTTTGAACTTGTAGCAACCCTCTTGCTTCTGACTCCCTAATGGACCTGACTTTTTTTTTTTTTTCTCCTTTCCTTTCCTTCAATAGAAAACAACTTCTAATACTCCTTTTTTTTTTTTTTTTCTTCTAACACATAGCCCAGGCCTTTACCCATACTCACAGTACTCACTGTACTCCTTTTTTTTTTAAAGCCTCCTCCTGCTTTATCCTCCCACGTGCTCAGATTACTGGCATGCACTTCCAAGTCTGGCAGGACTTGGTACTTAAGGGGCGTTTTCTGGACATTGTTGAGTGAATGAAGTATTACACTGCTTTCAGACTCATAAGAGCCATCAATTAGTACTTGAGTATGGGGTGTGCAGAGTAATACTGCTTGTTTTAGTATGAGAGTATAAATAAGACAGGGATGAAAGTAGGGTGACTTCTTTGGCAGCACTACAACTTGTAGATAGCTTATCAGATAAGAAAATAACTCGCTGCATGCCTCTTGGAATTGGAATTGTGAAACCAGAATTACGATATCATCCTTTTCCTGTTCATCTGCACAAGGCAGAATGGAATGTCATAAAGCCATGTAATGATTCCTGAGTGGTGTCCCAGACATTTGTGTACCTTATAGGAGAGAATCTTCTCCAGATCTGTTTTGCTTTTCTGCTTAACTTTGTCCAAGGCCCCCAGCACGCCAGAGCACTGCTTTGTGTTAGTTGCTAAGTGAACCTCACTGAGCACTTAGGTTGAGGCAGTCTTTATGATGCTGCCTCTTACACATGCCCGTTGGAGGAGTGTGACTAGTGTACTGTGAAACGACTAGGAATGTGCTCTTGGCAGGGAAAAGAAACCTATGTAGTTGAGTTGTGCAACCCAGCATTAGTGGCTGCTGTTAACAGGAGAACATACAGCAAAGAAGCAAAGAGGGACAGAGAGCAATAAACCTCATCTTCTAATGGGTGGAGGACAGTTGTAAGAGATTTTCCTCATACACGTGTGTTCTTCATTCACCTCTCCTCACACATTTTCACTTAAAGTTGTGATTTGTTTATGATGGGCTAGGGTTTTGTCTAATCTCGTTGGTATTCTATTTCAGAGCCACAGTTGTTGAGAAGTATAATATCTACTGGGTGAAGATTCCTAGTCATGTAATTTCACAACCAAATGCTCCTCCTTTCACGACGCCCAAACCTACAGCACAACCTTTGACAACCTCACCTTCTGTCTCCCAGTTAACCAAGCCAGTGAGTAACGCTTCTGTACCTTCAGCAAATACAATTCTGAGTGGCTTTCCTGGCAGCTGGTCCTGTGGTTGGTGTTAGCTGTCCTGTGCCGTGGGAGGGAGTTTTTGGGGTCTCTGTAGAAATGTGAAGGAAGTCTTCATTGCAACATTATGATTGATGGGTTTGAGTAACGGACATAAAAGATTCTCCATTCAAAGTATAGTTGCAACACTCACAGGTAGTTTTGCTAATGAGGAGTGTGTGTTCACTTGAAAATGAAGCCAAGAAAACTACCCCTTCCCTTCTCTTTTCTTTCTTCCTTCCTGCCAAATATTAAACATAGGGGGAAATTTCATTTATAGTTAGACAAGATTTGGAGGAGAGCCTTGAAGTGGTAATATAGTATAGACTTTATCTTATTAAGATTAGACTGTTGGGGAACTCAGTGGGATATGGCGGTACCTGCCCAGAATCCCAGCAGTGAGGAGGTAGAAAGCAGGAGGATCATTGCAAATTTGAGGCCAGGCTGGGTTACAGGGTGAGTTCTTGGTCAGCCTGAACCATAGTAAGACTATTTCAACTCCCTTTCCCTTAGCAAATAAAGAAACAAATAATGTAGGAAGTTTGAGGCTAGCCCAAGCTTCATGAGGTTCAGCTCTCTTTATCCCCGAACAGTACCAGAAAGTTCAGTGTGCTGAATCACAGAAAAAAGTCACTCACAAATCGTGTCAGCTACTCTTCCATTTAGACTGTCTGATTCAAAAGACTATGATTGAGAAAAAAAATTGGAAAGGGTAATGTTTAGAAACAGCAGGGAGGTTTTCACTGGAGGGAATTTTGACGAATTAGATTGCTTATTGCACAAATACAGACATAGAATGAAAAGGTGTCAGGGCATTACTGTAGTTGGAAGACCATGCTTCTGCCTAAGTGTGGACGTGCCTGCCTTCGGTGGGTCTTTGGAGGAAATTATTCCTGTGTCAGCTTCCCTTAAGAATGAGGACCAGTGTGTACAGCTCTTTATGACCAAGAATAGCCATCAAAATAATGAATGAACACCTGCTTTCATTTGTGCCTTGTGCTAGACAGATGTGAGGTAAATACTAGGCCAGGAGTTCTCAACCTTCCTAATGCTGCGACCCTTTATACAGTTCCTTATGTTGTGATGATGCCCCAACCATAAACTTAGTTTGGTTACTACCTCATAACTGTAATTTTGAATTGTCATGTAAATATCTGCATTTTTCCATGGTCTTTGGGGTCGCGACCCACAGGTTGAGAAACACTGCTCCAGGTCCTTTTTCTATTTTGTCTGTATGTCTCTTCTTTCACTAAATAGGGACTGGAGAGGTGGCTCAGCAGGCAAGGGCACTTGTTGCTTGCTTTTCTACAGGACCCGAGTTTAGTTCCAAATCCCCAGATCACAGCTGCCTCTAACTCCAACTGCAGGGGGTCTGATGCCCTCTTCTGGTTTCCTTGGACCCCTAGCATGCATCCACACAGATGCATATACACAAATAAAACTAAAAATGACTAAATAAGTCGTTTAATCTACATAATAGTAGTCTTATTTGGCTTCCTTCTCTCCCACAGTTTTAAACAGTTCTCTGGATGTTTCATTTGGTCACATTGTAACGAATGCTGCAGTTTTGTTTGAAGTACAGTTATCGAAGAGGCCATTATCTCTATTAGCTCTTAATACTTAACCATTCTTAATACTTAGCCAAAAACTGCTTTAAATAAATGAAATGCTTGCACATCAGCTTCCTAATAGAAAACATTGCCCTTCAGGTAGTCAATAAAAGGGGTCTATTCTTTGGAATTTTACCATGCCTCTGTGCCAAGGTGATAATCTTTAATTATAGGGAGATTTATTTAGAGTCCTGGCATTTACAGGGGGGTTAGAAGAGACTTCATAGTCTCGTTCATATTCTTAAAAGTAAAGAGAATCTTAGGGAATAGTTTCTTTGACAAGGAGAATAGACCGAAGTGGAGCTCAGAGACCAAAGTCACATTTCCAAGCTCCTGGTGGTTTCTGTCTTCAACCTACGGTGGAGTATTTATGTCCCTATTAAGCCTAAGGTGATGGTGGGTGTGGGTGTGGATGGGCCTCCATAGGTGCCACACAGGAAGGCTCTGGATTCAATCAGCGTAGGAGACTGGCTGTGCCTCCTGACACAATAGAGTTGCTCCTACAGTTATTTGGAATGGCAGTATCTACAAGCATGTCATCTCCTGTATCATTTAATTGCAAATTCTGAATGTCAATTTTAAAAGCCATTCCCAAGACCTATACATAAAGACTTGCCCATGTTTGGTTTGTCTGCTTTTTCAAATACCATCTCTTGAAAATCCGAGGGTACCTGTTAGGCAAGATTGCCAGTGTGGACTTAGTCCTAAGAAATTTCTCCAAATTTACAGGGAGCCTTGCTCTTCCTGGTCTTAGATGATGTGAAGTGTCTTATATATTAAGTGAACATAAACAGTCTTGTGGGCTGGAGAGCTGGCCCAGAGGTTAAAAGCACTGGCTGCTCTTCCAGAGGATATGGATTCAACTCCCAGCACCCATATGGCAGCTAACAACTGTCTGTGACTCCAGTTCTGGGGATCTGATACCTTCATACCAATGCACATATAATAAAGTTAAATAAATTATTAAAAAATAAACACTCTTGTATCACTACTGGCTGACTAGTATAGTTTTCCAAATTGTAATGATAACTGACTATGTTTAAAATCCACAGCTTTTAATCCCAGCACTCGGGAGGCAGAGGCAGGAGAATCTCTGTGAGTCCAAGGCTAGCCTGGTGTACAGCTAGTTTCAGGACAGGCTCCAAAACAATACAGAGAAACCTTGTCTCAAAAAACCAAAAAAAAAAAAAAAAAAAAAAAAAAAAAAAAAAGAGAGAGAGAGAGAGAGAGAGAGATCCACAGCTAAAGAATGTGCTGATCATTTCTAGTTTTCCATGTGTCTTCTGTTCCCTAGGTAATGGCTATCTAGTTCTTGGCAGTGAACTCCATGTTTCATAATTAAGACTTTTCCCTCCTTGTCATTCTTTTCTAGTTTAGTGCTTCCGAGTGTGGGAACAAGAAGTTCTGTGTCAGGAGTCCTTTGAACTGTGACCCAGAGAGTGAGCCTGCCTGTGCCTTCTTGTCCTTCACCAGAGATGACCAGTCGGTGATGATTGAGATGAGTGGTCCCAGCGAAGGCTACCTGTCATTTGCATTTTCTCATGACCAGTGGATGGTTTGTATCTATTGCTTACATTTTGGGATGATAGCAGGGGATTAACATCAGCAGTAGATTAGCTGTGTCTTCCAGATCTAAGGGTAGAATAGGAAAGGAAAACACAAAGAACAGATTTGAATATAAGTGGCTGTTTCATGATTTCAGCAGGTAGGCAGGAATTTCTAAGAGCAGGTCAGCTTATGTCCCTGACTCTTTGTGAAAAAGCAGGAATCACAGGCAAAAGAAATGTCTGGATTAAATGTCACGTTTGTACTGCCCTTCAGACTATTGTTCATGCAGGCACCAGAACTAAAGCCGGTGCCCCTGCTGTTGTTGTCCATGCTGTTGTCATCCCTGCCGTAGTCTTACAAGTTCCCTGCGTGCAGCTATGTGCAGGCGATGTGTTCTGACTGCTCCTTTGTCTGATCAGCATAAGGCAGCACGTTTTCCCTGATTCTTGCTCTTCCCTGGGGCGGGGTGGCTGGATGGATTTGTAGGTGGAGCTTTGTGCTGCTGGGGAAAATGCTACAGAGGCGTCCGGTTTCCCGAGGGACAGGAAAGAGGACCCTTGGCAAATGTAAGTCCTCTTCATGGAGGATTGGCAGTGAGCAGAGTGGATGATCGCCACCACCATGTGACTTCCTCATTGGGAAAGGCAAAGTCTTTGGAGACTTTTCTTCATGTCAGGGTTTAAACTTGACATCCCCCTCTGAGGGAGCCATAGTTCAAAATAAAACAAAATCAAGCAAAACAGCTCTGACAAGACTGATAAAGGAGAACCAAGGTTTATTCCAAAATGCATTCCACCTAGGTTGTTGGCACAGGCTCTTAATCCCAGCATTCAGGAGGTTAAGGCAGGAGAATCAGGAGTTCAAGATCATGGCAGATTTGAGGCCAGCAGCATAGGGTTGTGAAGCTGCGTCTCAAAACACAGAACAATAGTGATGGAGCGACACGCTACCACATGCACTTTCAAAAGGAAGGAAATTTCAAACTTTTCTCTTCAGAGTCACTTTTTATGGGAAGCTTTCTACATTTTTATGGAACATAATACTGTAATTGTGCAAAATATTTCCCCTGCTTTCTCTCTGTAATTACCATCAGACCTGCAGCTTATTCTTTTGGGTGTTCTTGGTGCTAGCAAAATGAATCAAATTTGTTGCCTGAGATGAATAATGAGGTTGAGTTAAGAGTCAAATGTGACTCTAAAGCAATAAGGAAAGGCGGTGGTAATGCTTGTTATGAGAATGGGATGGAATTGGCTGTGAAACAAATTCCGAAGAGGAGTCCAGGTAGGATTAAAAGGCCTTGTTGGATAAACACATAATTTCCTTAAGCTGAATCTCTGGGGCACTGCATTCATTTACATATGTCAGTGATGTATTATTACATATGACACATTACATCATATTTATTTGTCATTGAAAAGTAAAAACAGCATATTTCCATAACTGTATATAGCTCAAATTCATGCTGTAATGTAATAGCACATTTCCTCCTACTGGCCACAGCGAATGGGGAAGAGGGGAGGGTTTTGTTGTTGAGTGGGATGGCAGATGTGGTCCCACAGGTAGGTTAGTTCTTGTAAATTGTAGGCAAGACGGCACAAAAGCATTTATCTCTAATTTGAGATATTTTTATCTCATTTAGTAATCTTACCTATTTCTCTTACAGTGCTCATCAAAAGTGTTTATAAAAAGGTTTAATTATGCAGGTGCAGCTGGTTTACAGAGAGATCCCGCTTAATGATTAAAATCAGTTGTACACCTGGTTGCCTAAATGGCTGGAAATGGATCATCTTCAGAATATGCTTTAAAAGTGGTTATTTCTATTTGGGGTTGTTAGTTTTTCAACTTCAGTGTATTTTTATGAACACATTTTTTTTTTTTTTTTTTCTTCCTTGAGACAGGGTCTCACTAAGTGGCCTTGGCTAGCCTGGAGCTCTATAGACCAGACTAGTTTCAAACTCCCTTAGAACTAACTGCCTGCCTCTGCCTCTTGATACTGGGATTAAAGGCCTGTGGCACCACATTCAGGGTCCTGTTATTTTTGACTGTGTAATGTAAGTTGAGATACTGAAGATGTTTGATATTTTAAATGCTGATTAGATAACAACTTAAATTCTACATGAACAAAAATGGCTTATAAATTGACAGCAATTGCTTTCATCACTGAAATTTATGAAAAGTAATTTTTGCTAATAGTTGCTTGCTTCTTTTTGTATTTTGCTCTTCTGTATCTATAATTTTTCTTATATGATATAAAGTCTAACAATAAAACATGTTACTAGCTTCTATCCTCATTTCCCTCTTAAGTAGAAAACAGAGCCAGTTTCTCCAACTATACACTCATAACACAGGTCGCTTCTGTGATCCTCAGCAGTGTGGGAATATCTTGTCACACACGAAGCAAGCAATTGACTTCACAGCAGACATTCAACCTGGAGATAGTGTCAGATCCCCAGGGTTGAGGACTCAGTCCTCAACTGTTTGACCTGTGCTTTTGACTGTAGGGATGACTTACCAGGATTTCTAACACTCCCCCTAGGGTTGGGCTATTCAACAAATTCAGGGAAACACTCTTTTTTGTTTGTTACAAATGAAATTTCAAAGGATACCAAAAGAGAGGTGCACATGTCATTGTGTGTGTGTGTGTGTGTGTGTGTGTGTGTGTGTGTGTGTGTGTGTGTGTGTGTGTATGGGAAGTGACAGGACCTTCCATGGCCTCTTGAGGCACGCCATCTTCCCAGGTCCCTCGTAAGAGCAGCTAGAACTCTTAACTGCTGAGCCATCTCTCCAGCCCCTTTTAAGAACTATCTGGAAGTTCTCCAAACCCTGTCCTTTTGGCATTTTGTAGTTACTTCATCACATAGGCATGATCGATTGAATCTTTGACCATTGATGATCAACTTAACCTTTAGTACTTTCTACTCTTCAGTATATTAGTGGCGAGGTGAAGTTAGTTAAGGTCTTAATCCTTTAGTCATCTGAGTATCAGGGGCTGCCAGTCATCAGTCAACCCATTAGCACCCCCCACAAAAAAGCCCCTTTGGAGAGTCCAGAGGTTTTAGGAGTTCTATGCTAGGAGCTGGGGAATGAAGACAGAATATGTAGCTTGCTGTATTAGACTTGCTGCATACATAATCTTTTCGGTTTTTTTTTTCTTTTCAAAACGAGACATGGATCTTTATTGCTTGTACATTCTTTTTTATTTCTATATATTTTTATTTAATTTAGAAATGATCTTATTTTATATATCAATCTCCCTCCCATCCTCCCATGTCCCCCGTTGACCCTCCATCTCAACCCCCCATTCACTCCCTAGGGAGGCTGATGCCTTCCATGGGGGATCATCAAAGTCTGTCACATCATTTAGGACAGGCCTAGTCCTGCCCCTGTGTATCTAGGCTGAGAAAGTATCACTTCATGGAGAATGGGCTCCCAAAGTCCATTTGTACACTATGGATAAAGTATGATTTCACTGTAAGAGGTCCCATAGACTGCCCAGGCCTCCTAACTGTCACCCACTTTCAGGATGCTTGGTTTGGTCCTATTCAGGTTTCCCAGCTGACATAATCTTTCATTGACCAAACTCTAGGTTATTTCCAGTTCTTACCTTACTTGGGCCCTGGGTTGTAGATTTATTTCATTGTTGGCTAGTCTCATGCCAACGATTGTTTTTGGACAGCATAAACCAACCCCGTAACTTGAATTTATGATAATTTTCTCTTCTTGTTTTCCTTATTCTTGGTTCCCAACAACTGTCTTAAGTCACTTAGCATTATTGTTTAATAGTTTTTTTTTGGTCAGGTACAGTTTGAGGTATATCATAGGACCCCCCTCTCTTTATTTATTTATATATATATATATTTTTTTTTTGGCTGTTATCATCTTCCCTGTTTTTTTGGAGAAATTTTGGTTTTGATGGTGACCTGGATCCCTTCCATTAATAATTTCCAGGTTCTTCCTCCTGTCACAAGTGTAAACACCTATGTACCTTTTTTGCAGTGTTGGGGATCAAACTCAGGGCCTCGGTGCGTATTACACTGAGCTTCATTCCCAGTCCTACTGTGCTTTTATAAACTAATGCAGAAATGTTAAAAGAACAGCCCAATGAATGTCATTAGTCACTCACCTAGATTTGCTATTTTACCTTTATTTCTCTATGTCCAGGTCCATTACTCTGTCTCAGTTGATTTGTGTGGTATGTCTAAATACAGTTTTCTCTCTTAAACTCTTCCAGAGTAAGCAGACATGTCAGCATTTCATCCCATAGATTTTGGCACAACTCTCCTGAGAACAAGAATGTTCTCTTATAATTACCACAATTTTATCACATTGAGAAAATTTGATAATGATGCAATCATTTTATGCACTACATAGTTTACATTCCATTTTCCCCAGGCTTCCCAATAATGTTCCCTTGTAGCTATTTTTTTTTTTTTTAAAGAAAATTCTTTTCCAACCATGTAGTGATTTTCTTTCAGTGCCTTTATGTGTCTTGATCTTTACTTCAGCAGTTATTCTCCTTTTTTTCTTCTTCTTTCAGGCCAGTGTCTTTGTAGAGTGTTCTGCTGTTTTGTTTTTTTCTCTCCCAAGACAGGGTTTCTCTGTGTAACAGCCCTAGCTGCCCTGGAATTGCTTTGTAGACCAGACTGGCCTCAAACTCACAGAGATCTGCCTGCCTTTGCCTTCCAAGTGTGGGAATTAAAGGCATTCACTGCCATCACCTGGCTTGAGTATTCTCCTATTAACATGGTAGATTCATATTAAGAATTTTGGCACAGGGCTGGAGAGATGGCTCATCCATTAAAGGCTAGGATTACAACCAAAAATATATAAGAATTTTGGTACAATGGGCTGGTGATGTGGTTTAATGGGTAAAGGTGCTTGTTACCAAGTTTGATCACCTGAATTCAATCCCTGGGACCCACATAATGGATAGACACAAATGATTCTCACATGCTGTCCACTTACTTACCCTTGGCTGCTATGCTCATGCATATGCATGTGTGCGAGCATAGTCTCTCTCTCTCTCTCTCTCTCTCTCTCTCTCTCTCTCTCTCTCTCTCACACACACACACACACACACCAAAGTAAGTGTAGGATATTTTGCTGTTAATAATAATTCACTAATGATGAATCAGTACATCAAGTGAAGGTTTACATCGTTCCATCTGGTGTCTGCAGGCTTTCTCCATTGTGCAGGTGTAAAATGCAGGTCTTTGTACTTAGTAAAAAAATATGTAGGGTGTTGTTTTAACTCTTTGAGAACTTTGTGCTCTTCAGTAACCCATGACCAAATGGCTTCAGTATGGTATGACTCATCAGTCAGTCGTCACATCTCTTATAGTTTTCTGAAAAGAAGAAGCTTTTTCCTCTACACTTCTTCCTTTTGAGACTCAGTCTATGGACTGATGGATTGGATTTATTTAATTAAAATTTTTATATTCACTATGTGTGTGATTGTATGTGTGCAGCATGCATGTGGGAGTCAGAGAACAACTTTGTGGAGTCAGCTTTCTCCTTCCACCTTGCTGTGCACTCTGGGAATTGAACTTGGATCATCAGGCTTGCTCTGGGAGTGTCTTTACCTGCTGAGCCATCTTTCAGCTCCTAGACTTCTTGCCCATTGTGTTGCCATTTGTTGATGGAGACTCTTCAGCTGCCCTCTGGCCTCTCTTGGCATCTCTATCCATTTTTAGCATGTCCTAGTTTGCTTTGTTGTCAAAAGATGCTTTCCACTCATACTTCATCATTCCTCAAAATAACCTGTTTCTTTTTAGCAGGAATAATTCTTAGAAGTTAGGATTTGAATGCTAATATGTCATCAGATACTGATCGTTCTGTGGATTTATGTTGAGGGGTATATTCAGGGTAGGCAAGTACTCAGTACTACTGAGCTACGCATGTTATCCCCCCCATGTACTTTTTAAAAACATTATTAGTTTTTACATTTTCTTCCATTGTATACGTGTCTCTGTGTGGGCACAAATGTGGGGGTCAGAGGATAGTGTGTGGGAATTTGTTCCTCCTTCCAACATGTATGTTCTGGAGATCAAACTTAGGTTGTCAGGATTGGCAGTGAGTACCTTTTCCAGCCTTCTTAGGACTTTTGACCCTGTCTCTAACATTGTGTTTTAATTCTGTTTACCACATTGTCATCATCTCTGTGACTATTACCTCTATCTGGTTTACCTGTATTGTTCCAGAGTCCCTCCCTAGTCTTCCTGTCTCCATAATCTCCTTTCTGTATTTCCTATATTGTTTCCTATCCATGCTTCCAACATGGATTTCTGAAGCTTCAGTGTTTAAATAGTGATGTCTTCTCTTATCCTTCATTTAGGAGGTGAAGACTGAGTTATCTGCTCCCATTATCTCCTGCACTGTCTTCTCTAATGTTCAGGATGCCTCTCGGTTATAGTTAGTACTGCAGTTCTAATCAGTTTGCTTCTAAGTCAGCTACTTTGACTGTATTATTATTATTATTATTATTATTATTATTGTATGCTCACTGATTTGGAGGTGCATTTGGAGGCCTGAGGTTGAAGTTAGGTGTCTTCCTCAATTAATCCCCACCTTATACTTTAAGGTGGTCACTCACTAAATCTGATGCTCTCTCTGGTTCATCTAGACTGGGCTCCTCCTATCTTATCCTCCATTTCACCTGGATTACAGGTGTACATTGCTATATTGCCATGCCTGGCTTTTTATGTGGGTACTGTTTTTTGTTTGTTTGTTTTTGTTTGCCATGTTGGCTTTAGGCTTCAAATTCAGGACATTAGACTTGGTAGCAGGCACCTTTACCCACAGAGCCATTTCTTTGCTTCCCTTCCATCTCTTTAAACAAATTAGTTATATAGTTACAACATCCCCATTTCCCCCTTTCCTTTCGTCCCTCCAAACCTTCCCATGTAGCTCCTCAGCCCCATCCTCTTTCAAATTCATGGCCTCTTTTTCTTTATTTATTGTTACACCAGTTCCAGCTGGTACATCTACAACACAACTCTTGCAGCCTATGGCTCAGAGATCGGTGCAGAAGAGGAATGGAAAAGTCATAAGAGCCAGAGGAACAGGGGATTTGTTGTAAGATCTAGTTTCTTAGGAATGTGAGAAGCTATACCCTCAAAATCTCACCTGCATGGTGGGCTGGCTCAGGTCTCAGAGATCTGCCTCCCAGGGCTGGGATTAAAGGTGTGCCCCCACACTCAGCCATTTATTTATTTCTCAGACTGGGTCTTATTACAATGTGCCACCCGGCCTCTGCTTGTCTCTGTCTCCTGAGTGCTGGGGTTAAAGGTGTGTACCACCACACATAGCTAAAACACTATTTTTTAGCTCACAAATAAGCAACTTGTTCTCTAGACTTCGTAGATCATTTACTGCTGAGTCAATTATATCTTAAAAGTATCAAATGCTGTTTGATTAGGGGCTTCTTAAAATAATGCATTTGTTTTCCAGGGTGACGACGATGCTTACTTGTGCATTCGTGAAGATCAGACAGTGTATATACGGCCTTCCTATCTGACAGGGCGAAGTTATCCTGTGATGGACTCCACCAGGGTGAGTGTGAACCTGCTGGCAATGCACCAGGTTGGCCCGCCTTCCTGCTCTGTGGCTGCCTATGTAGGGCCTGGCAGCAACATTCTTCTCAGAATGATCTCCAAGACACATTCTGTACTTAGAAATCACAGGACACATTTCTCTGCTGGTAAAGGATCAATCATTGCTCATGCCACTTAAATTCTTTTTGTTACATCTTAAGGAAACGTATTAAAAAGTATTTAAATGTCTTATTGACCTCATCAGAGAACTAGCCTCTTTCCAAAAGCTTATAGGACAGGGTTTAAAAAAGTTTTTTTTTTTTTTTTCATATTTTTACATATTGATCCCAGTTCCCTTTGCCTCACTCCCTCCCTCTAGCCCTCCCTCCCTCCCTCCCATGACCCCCAACCACCCTCCCATCCTACCCCACCTCCCCCCACTCCACAGGGAGGGGGATGTACAGGACAGGTTTTTAAGATGAGACTTGGGGAAGGGTGCCACCTTCCCCTGCATAAAATGTTCAGGGCTGGAGAGCTGGCTCAAGAGTCATGAGCACTTACTGCTCTTGCAGAGGATCCGACATGGTAGTTCACAACCTTCTGTAACCCTAGTTCCAGGCAATCCAATGTCCTCTTCTGACATCTGTGGGCACCAGGGACACACACACACACACACACACACACACACACACAGGTTAAAATGTCATATACATATTGGGAAATGAGTAAATTCTAAGGGGGGGGGGTAGATAGTTTAAGATCACTGTTGGTTACACAGAGAGTTCAAGGCTAGCCTAGACTATACCCTCTCTCAAAAACAGTCAGTCAAACAGATAAATAGCCAAACTTCTGTTAGTTAGAGAGCTATTTCTTGGCTAGTGGGAAGGAGGAACACATGTAAACACTGATACCCAGGTGGTTGCCTTGCTCTCCCCCGATTTGCACCTTTGCCAATGTGTAGTGTTACTGTTATTTATTTATTTGTTTGTTTATTTTAGGACAGTTGGCAGGCAAATGTGCTATGAAGGTGCAGTGCCCTTCTAGTGTCACAGTGAAGGAAGTGTCACTGGGCAGTAACTTCCTTTCATGACACCATACTGTGCCTAGCTTTCCTTTGAGGTCCACTCCCTTAGAAGCCTGGGACACCTGCCTACACCTGTGTTGCATGCTGGCCTCCGGGTGTCCTTCAGCATTTCTGGTGGTGTGCTGGTGGCCAACTGGGCTTAGCCCATCAGTTAGATTTTCTAACCTAGGTAGAGGAACTGTGAAGGTGTGGCTCAGAGTGAAAAATAATCTTTGCCAAGAGGCATAAAGACGAACTGGCATAATAATAATAAAAACTCCTGGTGTTCTTTGAAGGGGAAACCTAAGGCAAGCCACTGAAGATAAATTATGCTCCTCCAACCTTAGGGAAAGGAAACAGAGCAAGCCAGGGTTTGAGCGTGTCTTATTTTTAGGAAATCTTTGGAAAGTGTTGAGAAGCCCTTGTGTTTGCAGGGGACTCTCAAGGACATGGCCTGGAGGCTGGTGGATGGCGTTATACAGTGTTCTTTCAGAAGAAACATCACCCTTCCTGGGGTCAAGAAGAGATTTGTGTTAAATGAAAGCTACTACATCTTTCTAGCAGAAGGTCCTGCTCATGACGGTAAGCACTTGGGTTAAATCTATCTTTGCAGGTCGTTTCTCTCTCTTCCTTTCCCTCATCCTTTGCGGATATCACTACAGTTGCTCATTTTAAGGTATAGAAGGGGTTCTCTTTTGATTTTGAGTTAAGCTTCTGGCTTTGTTTCATGCGAAGACTGTCAGCCAGGTTACATGGCTGCTTTGCTTATGATTTCAAAGGTCCCTGGTTTGTACAGTGGATTTGGACCAGAAATGCAAATCCTTTGCAAGAAGTAGATATGTCTTTGGGCTTTGCTGCACTTTCCTAGGAACAGTGCCTTTTGGATTATTGTAAGAAATACCAGCTCCCATGGGACAATCTGTTCTCCTTAGACACGAGCTTCTCCAGGAGGTGGAGTAAGAACCCTGGCAGCCATTCAAACTAGAAGGGGGTTGTGTCTGATGCTCTGTTGAGTCATTTCCTATCATGCATCTTCCTCAGTAAAATGGATACCCTGTGGTCCCAGTATTCTTTAGGAATCTGAATGTTTAGTTTTAGTTTTCTTTGTTTTGAGGCAGAGTCTCACCATATAGCCCTAGACTGGCATTTATGAAACTTTCTGTAATCAGTCTGGCCTTGAACTCATAAAGGTTCACCCATCTCTATCCATTGAGGGCTGGGGTTAAAAGCACGCACCACCATGGGCAGTCTCATCTTCATTTTCAAAAACAGTATCTTCAGTATCATTCTTAGTGACTGGACTGAATTACCAAACACTTAATTGATTCTATTGACATTTCTTTCCTGATATTCTAGATTACTATTTAGTTTGCTTCTCTGTCACTCTGACCAAAAGCACCTTGGAAGGATGAAAGGTTCTGTTTGACAGGTTACTGCCCATCATCAAGAGGAGCCAAGGTAGGAGCGTGAGGCAGGAACTGAAGCAAAGACTGTGGGGGAACTCTGCTTCCTCTGCCTTGCTCAGCTACTTATATATCCTAGGACTAGCTTACCTGCTTAGGGACGGCACCACCCACAGTGGTCTGGGCCCTACCACATCAACCATTAATCAGGAAAATGACTCATAGATGTGTCCAGAGACCAATCACATGGTGGTGATTCCTCAATTGAGATTCCTTCTTCCCAGGTGACTGCAGTTTGTATCAAGCTGATAAAAGCTAACCAGTACAGTTATATTTTGTTTTTTAACTAAACCACAAATTAAATGATTACTTCAATACTTTGTCTTTACTTTGATTGCATCCAGGTGTTTAGAAGTGTCTTTATTGTTAGCATCTCTAAGAAGGCTTGTGACTTTAGGTTTTATTTCCTGTTTAAACCATAAGTTAAGTGGGGCTGGAGAGATGGCTCAGCGGCTGAGAGCACTGGCTGCTTGTCCAGAGGACTTGTGTTCAATTCCCAGCACCCACATGGCAGCTCACAACTGTCTGTAACTCCAGTTCCAGAGGACTTGACACTCTCATATCAATACACATAAAAAAAGAGAGAATAAAATTAAATAAACTATTTAAAAAATAATGTTATAAGTATCTAGCTGGATCATCGTCCCTTCTTTTATTTTTCATTTTGTTATACAGATAGTATAATCGGTATCATTCACAAATTTTTAAAAGTTAATTTAGTTAATTTAATTATTATTATTATTATTATTATTATTTGTGTGTGTGTGTGTGTGTGTGTGTGTATGTGTGTACGAGCGCACATGCGTGCACACGTGTAGGGACACACAGTCCGTGACGTTCTTGTGGAGGTCAGAGGACAGCTTTGCTGAATCACTTCTATCCTCCAGGTTACCTGGTTTGCACTGCAAGCTCTTTTAGCCACCAGGACAGCTCACAAGCCCCATCCTTTTGAAATCACCATGATATAGTCTGTTACCTGACACCTAACATGTGTTTTCAACAAAAGTTTGTGTATCTATCAAGTTTCTTCACTGTCTTTGCACTCACATAGTTTTCTAAAAACATGTTTGTGTGCTCTGCAATTTATTCTACTCTAGTGATGGACATGTAGTTTATGTTTTCTTTTCAAACAATGTGAAAATGTTGCTGTGAATGTTCTTGTGCATATATATTTTTGGTCCAAAATCATTATGCGGAGGGGGAGGCAGACAGGTTGGAAGAACCAGAGGAGGTGGATGACTTCAAGGAAGTAGCATCCTCCAGACACAACAGGGCTGAAGCACACGTGAACTCACTGAGGCTGTGGCGGGATGCTCAGGGCCTTCACATGCTCAAAGTCCCAGCAAGGAGAGGGGCAAGTGTGCATAGAGTCCTGTTTCTAACCATTAGGCCATTTGCAGTTGATACCTGCTGGGAAAGGGAAGATAGATTTTTCTTCAATGCAGTGTTACTGCGAACATAACTAGAGGACAGGGTTTAAAGAGTTATTTTACCTGTAGAGTAGAATGAACAATACACTCATGTATGCACACACTTGGAATAATCTCATATTTTCCTCATTTAATTGTGTGTACAACAAATAGTAATAAAAGACACAAATAAGGCTGGACATGGTTGTGCACACCTTTAATCTCAGCACTAAAGAGGCAGGGGCGGGTGGATCTTTGTGAATACAAGGCTAGCCTGGTCTACATAGTGAGACCCTATGCCAAACAAAACAAAACAAAACAAACAAACAAAAACAACAACAACAAAACCTCAAAAGAATGAAAGAAAGGAAAAAAGATATTAATATTTTCTAAGTTTTAAAAGAATTGTTTTAGATTTTTTTTAATTTTTATTTTGTGTGTATGGGTGTTTTTTCTTGCATATGTGCCTGGTACCCTTAGAGGTTAGCAGAGGGTGTCAAATTCCCAGGTCCTCTGCAAGAGCAACTAAGTGCTTTTAAACACTGAGCCAACTCTCCAGCCCTTCCCTCAGTTTCTTTTTGTCACTGTTATTCCAGACTCGGACTTGTTACTCAAACCCAGTCAAACTGACCATCTGGCAAACTTTATATCATCAAAATGCTTTTCTTAGTTGTCTTCCCATTGTCTTCCCAGGCCCAATCTGCTAGCATACCCTAGGATTTTGGAATGCAGGCATGGCTAAAGGCTTGTAGCTTTCAGATACATCTGTCAGTGTTGGAGAATTACACTGGGTATTATTTTCAGTGACTTGTCATCTGCCGTTAGTTATTTTGACATTGTTTAACCTGTTAATCACACATGCTGGTTCTGTTCACTTTAACTCTTTCATTCCCTGTCCTTGTTTTGATTCATCTCGTTGTTGGCTCAATTATGTTCTTGATTTTTCAGGAAAGCCACATCTTTATGTTGCTTTTACAAGTGGATGTCAAGTCTTCCTGTTTGATTATTTTTCATTCCTGTAAGGCATTTTCATTCTATTCTGTGTCCACCTTTCAGGCCGAATTTTTAGGCACCCTCAGCAACCCTTGATAACGTATGAAAAATATGATGTGACAGGCACTCCAAAGAATGTAGGAGGGTCCCACTCTTCACCCCTTTTAAAGGCTCATGGTAAGTTAATGGAACATCGTTATCACATATGGGCTGTACTAACCAATGAGCAGGCGATGGCTGGATCAGGGAGAGCGGCAGGAGTCACTTAGCAAATTTTCATGATTCTTTTATTTTTAAATGTTGACAATTTCAGGCAGCTTGTCTCTCTAAATGTTTGTCAGTTTTATTAAAAGTGGAGAGGAATCTAATTCAGTCACACGAACACTGACACATTAAAATCAGTGGAAATTCTAAATTCATCCAGGTGGAGTATTACTGGATTAGTTAATTTAATGCTTTTGAATCCTTGTTTTTGTTTTTTATTAAAATAAATGCTAATGAAGAAGCTGTGTAGTTTTGGTTGTTTAATTGTAGCAGTAGTTTGGTTTCACAAATGTTCTTTCACTCTTGTGTAAGTATTTCAGCATAGGAAGTGCTTGGGGCAGTGCTTAGGTTTCGGATATTTGTGTGAGCAGTGTCACCAAAGTGGGAGAGAAGTTGCTTTGACAAAAGGCTCTCACATGCTTTGCGTCTCCCAGTGAAAGCTGATTCTGCTTGCAAGGTGCACTGGCTCTTGTTGCAAAATAGGATTCAAAAGCAAGAAACAGTGCAAACTGTACCATTACAGCACAATAACATCTCAGGGATTTTCTTGCTGCACTCCCTTTACGTTCTTCTCCAGAGTTCTTCATGGTGGAGGCTTTCCATGATTGTCACTGCAGCTCACCTGGAAAGCCACTTTCCCGTCTTCAGCTGGACTCTGCTCCTGCTATATCTTGAGTTGGGCAGGAATTAGATCCAGAAGTCACATGTCTTTTTGTCTTCCATTTGTTGTTTGGAGTAAGATTATGGGAGAAGAAAGCTACCGACAGACTGTTAGAAAGATGGTTAAGAACACAGTTGCTGTGGTCAAGCTATTGGAGTGCTCTGTGCCTTTGTTTCCCATTCAGTCAATTGGGGACAACATGAATACCTATAAACAGTGGCAAAGACCAGATTGACTAGTGCATGTAAAACACTTGGGGTACCTCATACCTGCTGGGGGCTATAGCCTTGCTGGTTGTTATCGGCAAAAGTGGTGGTTTAATACGAACTATGATACATTATGTTTTTGTGGTTTGCTGGTTGTTTATATTTTCTGAGCACTTGGCTGGGCCATTGATGCAGCAGCTTACTTACTCTGTGATATGAATCACTGCATCTTTCTCTCCTGTAGGTGCCTTAATGTTTGTGGCATGGATGACCACAGTTAGCATTGGAGTACTGGTTGCCCGGTTCTTCAGATCTGTATGGTCCAAAGCTTTCTTCCTTGGTGAAGCAGCTTGGTTTCAGGTAGGTGACAAAAAAGGGCTAAAGCCATTTCCATGTTATTCAAACACCATGATATGAAGTTTACATGCTTTTGATTTTACATTATTAATTCAGTGTGTGTGAGTATGCATGTGTGTGTGTGTGTGTGTGTGTGTGTGTGTGTGTGTGTGTGTGTGTGTGTGTGTGTGAGAGCGCATGCGTAAGTTCTGGGATCACTCAGGTTATCAGGTTTCACAGCAAGTCCATTTACCTGCTAAGCCATCTTACTGGCACACACGTGCTTTTCTTTTTCTTTTCTCAATTACAGCTGTTGCAGATCTCAGATCCATTCCCCCTCCCCCAGTTTCCTAAGCAACTGAACATCAGTGCAAGATTCCTTACACCATCTGGCTTTGTGATGAGTGGGCTGAATTGGAGAACATGTCAGGGTCACATGAGCCTTCCTTACCCCTAGGTTTGTAGTGGGAGGAGCTGAGAGAGACTCACTCACTGCTCTAAGTCAGTTTGAGTCAAGGAGGGGTGGAAAAGAGGAAGAAATGGTGGTGCTCACTGTATGTCTGTCCTCTGCTTGCTGAGCCCTTGAGACCTGGAATCCCCCTACTTAACAGTCAAGATCATCTGACTATGTGTGGAAAGAGAAACCGGAAGTGCTCTTTTCTGTCCTGAGCCTTCCTATAGATGGGAAGACAGGGTCCTACAGAGTACAGTGAGGGTCACAGGAGGGCAGAGTAGCCTGATCTCCATTGGCTGTAGATCATGGGTATTTGCATATATAGTGAGCCATCAATGAGTACATGCCATGAAAATGTACATACCTGCATCTAGGAAAACTGGAGGAGTTGTGACCTCATCAGAGGACACCCTTCTTAGTCATACAAATAAAGCTTTTGAGGCTCCTCTGTCTTACCTCGTTTCTCTTTTTGGTTGACAGGGTTATCTATTTTATTTATTCTCTTTAAAAACACTTTGTAAAAATTATTGTATTATTAGTTTTTTTTATGTTTATGGGTATTTTGTTTGCATGTAAGTCTGCATGTACCACATGTATGCCTGGTGCCTGAAGAGGCCAGAAGCGGGCATCAGATCCCTCAGAACTGGAGTCATAGATAGTTGGGAGCCACCATGTGAGTGCTGGGAATTGAATCTGGGTCCTCTGCAAGATTAGCCGGTGCTTTTAACAACTGAGTCATCTCTCCAGCCCCTCATTCATTCTCTCTTTTGTTACGTGTTGATTCTGTCTGTCTTTGCCTGTGAGCTCTCATGCTTACTCGTGTGTTCTTCTCCAATCTGCTCTGTAGATTTTCCATGTCCTTTATCAGTCTAAATGGCTCTTTGTGTGGCCATGTACCCATTCATGTGGCTCCTTGTGATGTGTACATGGGTGTGTGTGTACCACACTGAGCATGTGTAGTGGTCAGAGAACAGTTTTGTGGAGTTGATTCTCTCTTTACAAAGTAAGTGGCTTTGTGTGTGAGATCTCCATTCCTGCTGCTGCAAGGAGACAGAACCTACCAGGAACTGAACTCAAGTCATCAGCTTGTGCAGCAAGTACCCTTACCCACTGAGCCATCTTGCCCATCCTTCTGCTATGCTTAAATTAAGTATATGCTGTTGATGTGTGTATATGTCAGTGACAGTCACACATTCACATCTATAATACTATATGTCATATAGGGTAACCTTTTCCTGGAATAACCAGTTGTCCAATACATAATGGTGCCCACTTTCATTCTTAATATTTTCTTGATTTTACACAAAGAATTAGATGCTCCATACATTGTTCACTTATCTTTCCTGATTATACCACACATCCTGCAGGGTACTGTGTTTTTGGTTTCCTTGCTGTCCCTCTGCACATGGGCATAGCACTCTGCATGGCGACAGAGCCTAATGCATGCCTTTGGAATGAAATGAAGGTCTTGGCAAGTAAACGTGCTTTGCGTGTGGGATATCCATTCCAACCATAGGGAGTAGGCGAAGCCTTAGTGAGCCCTTTTGAATGATGGGATGGCAGTGTGGAGTTTTCTTTAGCTTAATGGTCTATGACATTTTATTTTTACTGTTTTGAATTGTATGCCTTCAGTGAATCTCCCATGACTGCCCCGCTGTGACACCAGATGTCTTTTATACAGTTAGCCATCTCCCCTTGCAGGTGCATCGGATGCTCATGCTTGCTACATCTGTGCTCACCTGCATTGCTTTTGTTATGCCTTTTGTGTACAGAGGAGGCTGGAGTCGGGTAAGGATGCCTTCAACAGGATGCTTCCCTATAAATCTGTTTTGATGTCAAAGCGGATTGCTACTTTATTCTCAGAGGTAGATAATGAGTCATTTCTGTGTACATCCCTTTTTTTGAGTAATCTGACGACTTCACCTGGTTGGGGGGATCAGGAATGAAGGGAGACAGTGAATACAGATTACTTGGCAGGGAAATGTATTTTTAGGCTATATCATAGTTCATGCATTCCTTTAGTGTGTGTTTTCCTTACAGAATGTTGAAAATTAGAAGTATGATACCTAAGATTTATTTATTATTTGTTTACATTTATGTATCTATTTTTTGAGATAGGTTTTTCTGTTTTTTTTTTTTTTTTTTTTTTTTTTTTTTTTTTTTTTGTTTACTTATTTATTTTTTTGAGATAGGGTTTTCCTGGCTGGCTGTCTTGGAACTTGCTCTGTAGACCAGGCTGGCTTTAAACTTGGAGACCCATCTACATTTGTCTCCTGAGTGCTGGGATTAAAGGCATGCGCCACCACAGCCCAGCTATTTTTGTTATTTTAATGGTGTGTATTTGTGTGATCGGTGTGATTCCAGTACCAGCAAGCACAGTGGTGGTGTGCTGCCTGTTGTGGATCCTGGGAACTGAGGTTGGGTCCTCTGGGAGATCAGTAAGCTCTCTAACTGCTGAGCCATCGCTCCAGCCCAAGCGTGATGTCTAAGAAACAGCATTAATCAAAGTGGCTTTCTCCTTGGATTGCCATTAAGCTAATAGAAGTTGCATCTCTACTATATGAGCAGTCTTGCTAAGTGCTGTATATATGCTATCAATTTTTAAAAAATTAATTAAAATATAATAATTGTATCACATCTCCCTTTTCTTTCTTTCCTTTAACCCTTTCCATGTCTCCTCATCCAACTCTTCACATTTCCCCTTAACTTCTCAAATTGAGTGAAGGGGAAATGTGAAGAGTTCTTTTTCTTTGGTTCTTATTCTCATTCTCTCTCTCTTTTTTCATCCATCCACCCACCCATCCACCCCCCAAAACATAATTATATAAACATAAACTTCTGTGTCCAATTAGTATTGCTTGTGTCTATATGACTTCAGGGTGACTCTTTGTATTCAATTACCAATTAGGGAGATCATCCCAGGGATGACATTTCCCTCTTCTGTGTTAGCTTATCAGTGGTATTGTTTAAGCTTTAGTTAGGCTAAGGGTTGTTACTACACACCATCTCACAGCTGACTTCCTGGTCCTCTGCTTCTCACAGTCATTCCATGCCCTCATCTATAATCTGTATGGTTTAAATATGATTTAAATCGACAGGAAAGATGGACTGTTAACAATGCCCTTTGTTCAGCGTGCAGGCTACCACCCATACCTCGGTTGTACAGTGCTGACTTTAGCTGTCCTTCAGCCTTTGTTGGCAACCTTCAGACCATCTTTACATGACCCAAGGTATGGACAAAGCTCTCACATTCAAACACCCTCTCTCTCTCTCTCTCTCTCTCTGTGTGTGTGATTAGATGGACAACTAATTTCTTTTCAAAGTAGAAACATTTTGCATTTTGTAGCACACAATGATTGATTGTATTCACATTTAAGGACTTTAAAATGGGTTTCAGATACCCAATTCCTCTGCATAGGGACATTGCATGCTTCTTATTCTTTTGGGGATAAATTGTTACTCCATCACTTTAAAGACTACCGACTGGTTCTTTTATTTTGGTAGGAGGCAAGTGTTTAACTGGACTCACTGGAGTGTGGGGACAGCTGCTAGAATAATAGCAGGTAAGTAACTGCAACGCCACTCACTCCTGTATAATTGCTGGTTGTTTACACTGAAAGTTGTAATTTGGCTTAAATGATTTTAGATGCATTAGTAATTGGAGTAATTGGTTGTTGAGGAGAAATCAGCCTGAAACATTGAAATCCAGAAAGTAATTTCTCCAACTGTAGAAATCATTATTTAAGCTTGAAGTTTTCGAAAATGACTTTAAAACTTTCTTTTCCAGTTCTCCCATTTGCCTTTGCAAACAAATGAGGCTATGTTAATGGCCAAACACTCAAGCAGGGCGAGTGAGGGTCCCAGGGTGAGGTCGATGAAGTGTGCTGGTACAAGCCTCTGAGTCCAGGCCATTTCCCTACAGTCTGTACTTGGAGGGTAGATGGTCTCCAGAGGGCAGCTGGAATTATATGACAATTTTTCTTTTCAGTACTGGGATTCAGTATCCAGGGCCTCATAGATGGAAGGCAAGTGCACTACCTCTGAGTTACATCCCCAGGCCTTTTTATAGTTTTTATTGTGAGAGGAGGTCTCACCAGTTTGTTAAGTCTAGCCTTGACCTTACTTTAGCTCAGGCAATCCTTGAGCATGTGATTCCCCCTGCCTCAGCCTCCCAAACAGCTGGGTTTGTGAACCTGCACCAGGCACATCTGATTGATTTCAAGGGAGGTACCTTTCACCTGTATACTCTATCGCTTGTGGGATTAAGTGCGGGATGAGTGTGAGGTCAGCAGTTACCTCCTCATCTCTCCCTCTTCATTGCACACCTACTTTTCTGGAGAGGTTAGGTATTGCGGTAAATAAGGATCAGGATAAACAAATAGGCCGAATAGATGTTTATTCAGGGAGAAATAACTTACAACCTAGACAGATGAACACCAGGAAATTCAACCCGATCCTCTCCTGTCTGAGTCACACCAGAAAGAGAGAGCGCCTTTCTGGCCCCCTCCGACCTCCTTCCTCAGGTCACCTCCGCCCATCGCTCCACCCACCAATGGGCGTGGTCAGTGCTACAGAAGGACTACCTCACTACAATTCCCCTTTTAGTCTAAAGAAAAGATTTAGGCTTAATACAAAACTATATACAAAACAGTGAATAACAAGTGTGCTCTAAGAAAAGGAAAATCGAGAACAAAATGACCTACATATCTAGTCCTAGGGTGAGGGCATAATGGAGTTTATAATAGAGTTGTCCTAAGCTGGAAAACGTAAGTCTAGTACCTAATATATCTAACTAGGAAGAGAGAATAATAGTTGTGATAGTTTAATCTTCAACCTCATCAAGACCTGAGAAGGAAAATAACAATACTAGAGTAGACAGGAAATGCGGATGGACAACTTCCAAAAGGTGCAGCAAGGACAGAAACAGCAAGCCACCTGAACAGTCACCCTAGGTCTCACAGCGACGTTGGTACACCCAGATTTGGCTAAGGCCAAGAGAACTTGACAGACCACAACAACAGCAGGGAAATAGAATGGCTGTCTTACCCTGACTTGGCAAGGTCAAGCAGTCTTCTATATTTGTCTCCTGCAAGCACATAGGACTGCATGTCCAAATCAGTGGTCAAGGTGGGGGCAATTCTATGCCCAACAGGCCATTAGCTGAGGCGAGATTGAACTCCAGCAGGAGCAACAACAGTGTCCAACATATTTTCGGGAAAGTGCACGGTGCTGTCAGGAGCAACAGTGTCTCATGTCAATGGAGTACTAATATTAAAGCATTTAAATGCCATGTTCTGCATGTCTATGAAGTGATTGAAGATTAAGCATCTATATCTGACTAATCTCATAGGTACAGGAAATGTGAGTGAAGATAATCTGTAATACTCGGGAACTTAGCTAAAAAGACTGATTAAAACTTTCCCGAGTAAAGCAGGAACAAATACTTAAACAATATAACTATTTACATATACCTACATGTAAATCCCTAAAATAGAGGTAGAGTATAAGTGTCAAGACAAGAGGTAGAACTATAAAGGGCAGCAAGATAAATATCCCAAATTGTATCAATATACAAAATGTCTTGAATACAGGAAAAGTATACATACATAGAATATGATTGCGGTAAATAAGGATCAGGATAAACAAATAGGCCGAATAGATGTTTATTCAGGGAGAAATAACTTACAACCTAGACAGATGAACACCAGGAAATTCAACCCGATCCTCTCCTGTCTGAGTCACGCCAGAAAGAGAGAGCGCCTTTCTGGCCCCCTCCGACCTCCTTCCTCAGGTCACCTCCGCCCATCGCTCCACCCCCCAATGGGCGTGGTCAGTGCTACAGAAGGACTACCTCACTACAGTTAGGTATCTTTGTTGTTATTGGTGTTGGGTATCGAGCCCAGGGCTTTGCATTTATTGGCTACTGCTCTACCCCTGAGCTACATCCCTAGTTTGAGGGTGCTCTCTTAGCAATTGTTAGATCACAATTTCTATCTTGCTTATGTAGTCTTACAGTAGGGAAGTCCAAATTATCTCAGCCTCAAAGATTATCCTTTTCATAAATGTTTAATATATTCTAATTAATGTAATGCATCAATTACTCTTTGTTCCTGGGCACACATTTGAGCACATTTCCCCCTCTTTCCTATATAGTGGCTGCAGTGTTTTTAGGAATGGATTTACCAGGACTGAATCTCCCCAGTCCACAGAAGACCTATGTGATGATGGGGTTTGTGGTCTGGCACATTGGGACAGAGGTGCTTCTGGAGATACATGCTTATCGGCTCTCTCGAAAAGGTAACCTGCTTGAGAAGTCCTACTGTGGAGCTGGAGAGATGGGGCAGATGCCTTGCAAACATCAGGATCTGTGTTCAAATCTCCAGCAGCCACACAAAAGCAGGGCATGGTCATGTGTGTCTGTAACCCCAGTGCTGTGCAGGTATGGAGACAAGAGGATGGCTGGGATTGGCTGGCTTCCAGCCTAGCTCCAAGTTTAGTGAGAGACCTTGACTGAAGGAAATAAGGCAGAGAGTTTCTGTGTGTGCTTGCACACGCAACCCGTCCCACCCAGGTGCAGAAAGTCTGCAGCATTTAGTAGCTTGAATGACCAAACCTACAGCTTAGAAAATTGGGGAATGTTAGGACTCAGGTTTTATCATATTTTCATGACAACTTGCATATCATCATTCTTAAAAACTTACATTGTTCTTGACAGTTGAAATATTGGATGATGATAGAATTCAGATCCTTCAGTCACTAACTGTCGCGGAAGCAGAGGTGAGATTCTCCTCTCTTGTTGATTGACTTTAACGATGGTGCTTTCTGGTAAATCTCAGTTTTTTTTTTTCTTTTCTTCTTCAGGGTCATGTTTTTAAGAAGGCAGTGTTGGTGATTTACATATGTGGAAATGTGATTTTCCTCATGATATTCTTATCTGCAATCAACCAAGTATGAGCCAGCAAAGACTTTTTTTTTTGTGGGCTTGGGTCTTTCAGAACGAGAAGGCCTGGAGCTTATGCTGACTACCTGGAGCATGTTTTAATTTGAAGACTCATGGGCATGGCTAGAGAGGAATTCTGAAGTCTGGTCTATCCAGATTATATTTATAGCCTGTGCATTGATGTCAATCAAGCCTTCATGTGTTAGTCTTCATCTTAAAAGGAACCGTGTACTCGAGATGACATGACTCTCAGCATCCCATGCCAGATTTAAAACAGTAAACTATAATGATTAGCAAATGAAGTTAATCTCAGGCAAAGGATACAAGGAGATTGCATCTTTGGAAATGGGATAGATTTTGTATAGCCCAGGATGGCTTCCAACTGGCTGTGTAACCAAGGATAACCCTGAACCTATCTTCCTGCCTCTGCTTCTGGGTGGTGGGATCACAGGTGTGCACCACTGTATCTGGTTTTAAGGGGACTATAACTTTCATGACAATGCTGCTGTGGGTGCTGAAAAGAAAATATTTATGTTGACTAGTTTATTTAGAGATCTTAGATTTTTAAAAATGTTTACTACACACACACACACACACACACACACACTCACTCACACCAAACAAAGAAAACCTACAAGAACAAAACATGTTTTCTAGTCCAGGCTTTGGATATTTTCTTTGCTGTGTGTGTTCCATTACTTCTGGCTAAAGGTGGAGGTGTGGTTGATTTATCTCATTGTACATTTCATTAACATTTAATTATATTATGAATATTGTATTTTCCTTGTTAGCAGCGAAGTGCGAATAGGCATCTTTTGTTTAGAGATATCATTTGTTTTTTCATCCATGGAGCTGGAACGGCATTTTGTTTTGTTTCAGCCCTAAGATTAGTCCTTATAGGAGATCAAAGTCATGAATTTCACATTTGCTAAAACTCGCCCTTGTGAGTGTGTCCAGCAGGTGTTCTTGTCTTTTGTGAAGATAAAATGACATGGATGGATGGATTGATTCCCTTGGATCGTCCCTGGTGCTCTAATAATTCAGCATGGGCAGTGAGTGCAGTTTTCCTTTCTACTCATTGTTTCTATTCTAGTGTTTGCTATGAAGGCTTACAGCCAGTGGATGGTGCTGTGATACCGGAGGAGGACTGATTTGCTCACCTTTTTTTTTTTTTTTTTCTTTCTTTTTTATTTTTAAATAATGGGCTATTTCCTTACAATCTAAGGTTCTTAACTTTCCTCTTTCTTTCTTTCATTCTTTCTCTCTCTCTCTTTTTGGGTTGCAGTAATAGGTGCTAGAAACTTAAATTAGTGATTGGTGCTATTACATTCTGACTTTTTTTGTTTTTTAAAATTATTTATGAAGACTGCTTGATAATTTCTTTTATATTCCTCAAATCCTGTAGCAAATGAAGATAATTTTCTTAGGTAAGGAAAACAAGTGAACTTGGACATTAAAAAAAAAAAAAAAGATAATTGGGAGGGTATATTTGTATTTCTTTGGGTATTCTTTCCAGTTATGATATAATTTCTGTTTGGCCCCAGAACCCTATTTCTATCTCCGAGTAATGACCTCAGCATCATGTTTTTACTTCTAATGAATAAAGTGAAAATTTTCTTTTTTTTCTTCATATAGATCTTAGTTAAAAGAAGCTTAGAGTTCAGGTAGGAATTTCCCTGTGTTCATGTTCGATGGGTTTTATGTTACAGTTTAACTGGAGAATGTTTTTATTTCACAAGAAGAGGGAATGGAGATGTAGCTCAGTTGTGCGATGGTTGAGTAGTGTCTATGAGGCCTTGGCCCCATCCTAGCACTGGAGAAACAAGGTATTCTGAGTAACAATTTAAATCTGTATGAAGACATTTTCTTTCAGTTTTCCATTATGAGCTGCTGAAGGCCAAAGCATCTCTCTTAGTAAGTCATGTTCAATAACTGAAAAGAAAAATTATTTTTAGCAAAAGGTGGAATTTTCTTGGGCTCTGTTTCCAAATAGATGAATTTTCTGGCTTTCTAATGCTGAGGCCAATATTATAATGTATTCTTTTTTAAAAAAAATATTTTTTATTAACTCCTTAAGAATTTCACATTTTGATCATATTCACCTCTGCTCTTCCCAGATCTACTACTGCTTTCCTACTCCAACCCTGCATATAATTTCACTCTAGTTTGTGCTGTCCATACACTCCTGGGTTTGGGGCCACCCACTGGGGGTCAAGGTTGATTTGCCACAAGCCACAGCCTTAAAGAAAACTGACTTACTCCCACCAGGAGCCTGTCCATATGTCCTCAGGGGTTGGGTGCATGGGTCTCCTCCCACTCCATGCTAGAGTATGGAATTGGCTTGATGTTGTATGGGCGCTGTGCAGGCAATACGAGTTCATGAGTGGAGTGGTCCTGTTAACTCCTGAAGACACCGTTTCCACCCTGTGTCTTCTTCCTCAGTCTCTGCCTTTGTGCCTCTTCCTCTGAGATGCTCCCCAAGTCTTGGGGAAGGTGTGATATGGATGTTCCACTTGTGGCTGAGTACTTCACAGGCATTTACTCTCTTACTTTGGTCAGGTGTGAGTTTCTGCATAGCATATTCTTTTTACAGGATGCTTGCTCTGGTTTGTTCCTCCATCAGCTTGTGCAAAGGAACTCTGTGTCACTTAATCCTAGCATGCCTGTTGTTTCCCTTAGGAAAACATTACACCTAACATACCTGTTGTTTCCCTTAGGAACACATTATATGTCTTTGGCTCCCTGTGCCTTGCCTCCACAAATTACAAATGCTGCTTTTTAATCCTCAGGTTTTCTTCTTGTTTCTGTAATAAACAATATGGGTAGTCAAAAATATATACATACATACATATGTATGCATATACAGATAATATATATATGTATCATCTATCTATCTATCTATCTATATCTATATATCTTTTAATGAGAACAATTGCTAAACTAAATTATTTTCTGTGTTTAGGCAAGTTGTCAAGAACAGTCAGTAAAATCATGTTTCCTTAAAGAAGGGATGTTCTTTAAAATAAGGATCAATATGTTTTTCACAAAATAGAAAACATAGGCTAGAAAATCATGATAGCATGTATAAACTGAATCTGGTTTTGTTTCTGTTAGTTTCTGGTATGAGGAGATGGAACCAGGACACAGGTGGCCTATAACTTGTTATTGAATATGTGAATCATATTTGTGTTAGCACTCCTCAATTTGTGTCAGACTTTGGAGCTGTAGGTTAGGTGACACCTCACCCTTCCGATATCCGGCTCCCACCTAGGAGGTTGTGGGTAGGATAACACAGCAGATGCCAACCAGGAAGCCGTGGGGGCTGTGTGATTCTTGGCTGCAAGTCTATTTGTCTATGTAGTCTAGTGAAGCAAGGGGAAGCAAAGAAGAAAGGCCCTTGTTCAAGACAGTCCATTATTAATGGAAATAGAGAAATGATTCTTTTAAAAGTTCGTTATAAATTGGATCAGCCCCCACAGCTCCCATGTTTGTCTTCCTTCCTTGTCTAACCCCTACCACACTCATTTCTGTGCCCATGGCCTCTGCACTCACCCACCTTCAGTGCCTTTCTGTCCTAGCAAGAACTGGCAGATTTATGTTTTACTCGAGTTCTTTCTTCTCCCTGGTGCCGCCTTGTCCCGTTCCCAACACTGTTCCCTCCTTGTCCTGACCATCTTTGTAAGTGAGTGGTGGGATGGGAAGCAGAGACTGCTGTAAGTTAGAAAGGGCCAGGGGCTTGGAGGTCTGAGTAGCCACTTGCTTCTGAGTTCTATGCTCATGGCAATGCCATTTGTTTTCCATGAGTCCTCCATCTTCAAAACTCTATCTCACTAGTCTTCATGAGGACTGCAGAAAGTGATGCCAGCCAAAGGTGCTTGCCTTGTACCAGTTGTTAGTGAGGTCTCTGTCACTTGGTTACAGTGCTAAACCTTAATAGTTTCATATATTTTATTATAAGAATATATGATGCTCATCTTGAAAACATTGTGCTAGATGGAATAGTCCAGACACAAAGGACAGTTGATTCTGTTGTGGGACCCAGCAAGATCAAATGTGCAGAATGCAGATCAGTGGGTGGAGAGTGGGTAGCTAGGGGATGGGAGTTGTTATTTAATGAATATGAAGTTTGTCTGGGAACAGGTAGCAATGGTTTTACAACTTTCTGAATGTATTTAATGCACTGAACTCTGCACTGAAACATGACTGAAATGGGAATAAACAAATAAAAACCGAGGGAAGTGTTCACTGTAGCACTGTTCATATCAAACGATGGGTGGTACAGCCCACATGCCCATTGACAGATTGTAGAATGTGTATGCAGTGGAAAATTGTTCAGCCATACAAAGGGAAATGGTACCAATACCTGCTATAATGTGAATGAACCTTCAAAATATACTAAGTGAGAGAAGCCAGAGACAAAGGTTAACTATTGTATAGTTCTATGTATATGGAAAAACGTTTGATGGAGGGAGACCCTAATTCCTGCCAGCTCGAATGTCCTATGGTAACTTTGTACTTGGAGGTGAGTGACTGCACACTTCTCCCTGTGATGCAGTACAGGAAAAAGACCATCTGACCTCTCCACCTTGAACTGTGTAATTGAGGCTGAAGCAAGAGCATCTGGGCCACAATCTCTTACATAGCCAAGCCTAAGAGACCCACTAACCAACCAACTGTGGCATCCAGAAAGCCAGTGCATAGAAATCAACAGCATCTCTCCATATTAGATACAGCTATGAAATCTGAAAAATACATTTCCCTTCACAATTGCACCAAAAACATGAGGATGCATTTAGCAAAAGAAATGCAAGACTACATGGAAAGCTAGGAAGTACTGCTGTAAGCAATCAGAGAATCTAATGGAGTGGACATAAATATTGTGTTTTTGGATCAGAAAACAATAACGTACCTGCTGGGGCCCATAAAGATGGCTCTGTTTTATCAGTGCTTCCCACATAGATCTACAGAGTCAGCACAGTCATGGCCAGGCTGCCAGCTGTCCCTTTTAGTAGAACTTGGTAACTGACTCTAAACTTTCTTTAAAGATACTTTAAAGATACTTTAAATTTGCATGTAAGTGTGTCGGTATGCCAATGTGCGTGTGGATACCCACACACTGAATGCTCCTGGAACTGGAGTTACAGGTTGTGAACTGTCTGGTGTGGACACTGGTTATCAAACTCTGCTCCTCTGGAAGAGCAATAGGCACTCTTAACCACTGAGACATGTGGCAATATATTTATGATTTAATAAAGCCTGCCCAGGGATCAGAATACAAAACTAGCTACACTAGTTAGCTGTTGATGCTAGGCAGTGGTGGTACACACCTTTAATCCCAGGACTCAGGAGGCCAAGACCACCCTGGGCTACACAAGAGTGAGTCAGTAACAGAGCTCATGCCTTTAATCCCAGCACTAGGGAGGTATGTAAGGAAGAAGCAAAAGGTCTCATGTGAGATTCAGTTTCTAGTCACAGGGAAGACAGGATCTCCGTTTCAGCCATTGCACAGGTAAGAGCTAGTGCCTGGCTACTTTGCTTTTC